TGTTTGTGACTTCCAGGTGATACCCAAAGTTTTCAGAGTATCTTCAACCTTTATATATTTATTGCGTTTTGTGATTCTTTATCATGATCAGGAATTTGTGATAACACTAATTGACTGTTAGATGCCCATTTGTGCGAAGGGAAACCACCGCGAGACAACGATTCAGGAAGCCTTTTTTGCAAGAGAACAGCATCTTCTTCATTAGACGCACCAGTCATTAAATCGTCCATGTACAAATCATTTTTCAATATTTCAGATTCCACAGGAAAATCATGTTTTTCATCTTCAGCAAGTTGGTGAAGCGTACGAATAGCTAAGAAGGGCGCACAAGATGTTCCGTAAGTCACGGTAAGTAGTATATATTCCTGTATGGATTGTGTTGGAGATTCTCGCCATAGTATTCTCTGGTAGTCCACATAATCTTTAGATACTAAGATCTGTCTATACATTTTTTGAATGTCAGCGACTAAACAAAATTTGTGTTGTCTCCACCGAGTAATTAAATCTCTAACATCTTGTTGCAACGGATATCCAATCAAAAGTTCTTCATTTAACGATTTGCCTTTTTCAGGTTTAGCACTTCCGTCAAAGACAACTCGTAGCTTCGTGCTCAAGCTCGTCGGCCGAAGAACAGCGTGGTGAGGTGAGTAGTGAATTTTATGTGTTTTCTTTTCATTTTCAGGTACGGTTATCAAATGAGATTCTAACTCATATTGCTTCATAAATTTGTGATAGTCTTCCTTGAAGTCAGCGTTACGTGTGAAACGTTTCTCCATATGCTGTAAGCGACTAACAGCAAGAGGTCTAACATCACCAAGATTTGTGGGAGGATCATCCTTGAACGGTAAACACACAATGTAACGTCCGTCATCATTGCGCGTGTGTGTGGATTTAAAATGCTCCTCACATTGTGCTTCTAATTCAGTCATCGGCTTTTTGCGAGGTAAGTTCTCTTCGATTACCCAGAATTGTCTGAGTAACCGATCTGCTTCGAATTTAGTGTGAGCAACTATCATATTGTGTTTCTGTGTAGCAGTGTCAGTTTGTAAAGCCTTGCCAGAGATCAACCAACCCAGACGAGAGTTAAGTGCGATCAGAGAATTGTGCTTGTGTAGTCCTTGCAGTAATATGTGAGCATGCACATCGGCACCAAGTAGAACGTCAATAGATCCTGGCTTGTGAAAGTTTGGATCAGCTAGATCCAACTGCATATACGAAGGCCAAGTATCTTGTGGGAATTCACGTCACGGCAACAATGAAGTAAGTTTCTTCAGTACATATGCATTTACTTCGAATGTGGAGGATTCGCATTTTGTGGAATGTATTGTAAGTTTAACCATAGATTTTGTAGTTACCACTGATGAGTTTGATATACCAGAGATCCTGCCAATAACGGGAGTGCGATCAAGATTCAATAACTGTGCTGCTGCTTCAGAGATAAAAGAGCCCTGTGAGCCCTGGTCAACAAGAGCTCTTAGTGTATAGATACCACTGTCCCTGGACTCAACCTTTATTTCGGCTATAGGTAAGATAACCATTTCTTCATTTGTTTCAGCCTTCAAGTTTACACTGAGGTTGCAAGAAGTACAAGGAGTAGATGTATTTTCCTTTGGTGTAGCGGTATCCTTTTGAGCTTTATCAGAAGTGTTATTCTTGGGAGAGGTTGTGAAATGTAGTAACGTATGATGTCGACGTCCACATTTTTTGCAGTTTGTACTCTGTCTACAATTGAACACGGAGTGACCTTTGACCAGGCAATTGAAACATATATTGTTTTTCTTTATAAAATCTTGGCGGTCAGAAACCGTTAATGCAGAAAACTCTTTACAGTGGCAAATGTAATGATTCTGTGAGCAGTAAGTACAAGTGCTTTCAACTTCGGTAGTAAAGCTTTTAACTGTAGTTGTTTTTGGAATATGTTGAACAGATTTCGGTGCGTCTTTTTTAAATGTTTCTCGAGGTTGTGAAAGATTGACCATTTCCATTGTTCGGAATCGTTTTTCTAGGAAGCTGTTTAGGTCGTCATATGTGGGAATATTTGTTGAGCTTTCTAACGACTGTTCCCAAAGCTTGTGAGATTCAATGTCTAGCTTTGAGACTAGAATATGAACGACTATTGCATTCCATGAATCAATCTTCAAATTTTTTAGAGATGTGAGACATTGGCTAGTAGTGTCTAGTGAATCTTTGATACCTTTTGCTGATTCAGTTGTTAGTTTTTTCTGAGTTAAAAATCGATTTAGAATATTATTTATAATCACTCGCTTATTCTCATATCTTTCATTTAGTTTTTTCCATGCATCATCATAGTTCGCTTCAGTTAAAGAATAATTTGAGTAACTGTTCGGCTTCTCCGGTTAAACTAGATTTTAAATAATGATTTTTTCGATTTTAGACAAGCGGTCATCACAATGTATCAAGGAAAGAAACAGATCTCTGAAGCTCATCCACTGATTATAATCACCAGAATATTGTGGTATAGCTATCGGTGGTAGCTTTGGTCTAAGTTTAGGAAGTTGTGAAGTTGTGTCAGATTTTGAAGATTCACTCATTGGTGTAATATCATAAAACCTTTCCTTTAGCCAAGTCTTTAAGTCCAAATTATGTTCCTCTGTTTGTTCAAAATTATCATCAATATCGAAATCATATTCGGTTTTCAATGTCTCACTGTCCAACGATGCAGTAAACAAATCATCACTTTTTGTGTAACAAGCCCAATATTCATGTAATGTCTCCATGCGCGTATCTAAATAACCTCTTGTTCGTTTATCCTTTGAACATTTTTTCGTATTTGTAAGTAATTTCTCGATTTTAGTTGAATTTTGAATCATAATAGCTACATGTTGTTTTGCAAGTTGATCCGCCATATTGAATGATATTCGGAAATGTAAATTGATGAAAAAGTTTAATTTAGACAAATATCACTATTTTAACGCAGATACTAAATGTTCATCACTCAATATTATGTTTGTTTGCTAAGTCCAAATCTACTAAGTCTATGTAAAAAACAGAGCAAATTTTTCTAAGTCTTTTTTGTCAAGAAATTTTTCTGTCTTTTTTTGTCAAGAAATTTTTCTAAGTCTTTATTACACAAATTCAACAAAGTCTTTTTTCAATCAAATTTTTCTAAGTGTTTTTATTACACGAAATCGGCTAAGTCTTTTTATTTTTACACTTTGAAATAACACAAGTCTTAGACGCACTGTTATTGCACTATGTTCGACACTTGCACTTACAGTTTATCCGGCAGCAGAAGGACCATTTGTTTAATGAAACACTCACACTTTATCACTATGTTTTACTCACACACCACTACACTGTATTATAGGAACACACAAAGAGGTTAAGAATGTTTAACTATACATCATAATGAAAACCCAAAAAATACCATGTTTTTTTCTGCGATAGTGCAATCTAGGGAGAACAGGAAGAACTATATTTACTTACGTTACTAAAGTTTGTTAGCTAAACACCCGCTATACAACGAATCACCAGTATGGCGTCGATTTATGACGTCATTTGCATTGGCCAGTGTACTGGGTTCTATTTCGAAACATACCCATAGGCACCCGTAGACGCGGGGATGGTCGTCGCTGTCTACGCTCAGCCATAGGATAGATAGGTCCCATATCTTCAAGACTGCCGAGGCGTCGAAAACAAATATCTTTTCTAATATATACACAAACTCCAGCCCGGGGCACAAAGGAGTGTTCTAATTTGTATCCCGGGTAGGAGAGATATGAAGTATCCGCTAAAGAGGATACCTGAGTCTCAGGTAAAAAGAGCAAGGCCGACTTCACCGTCTCCAGTTGGTAGTGGACAGCGTTAAAGTTGAAGTCCCCTGATGTTGCAAAAAATTACGGAAAGCTTGGCAGGGGTCGCCTTAATATTGTTGCTCCGCTTGCCCCGAGCCCCCCCCCCCCCAGAATACGTGGGGCAGACTGAGCACCCACGCTCAAGAAGAGTAGGATAACTTCGTCGTGGACGCTCAGCGAGGGATTCTTCGTCGCCAGAGGTGCTAGTACCCTCCTGGGGTAGTTTTTCAATTGATTCCGCTACCATGTTAATGGGGGCGGGGAGAATTGAGCCTCCGGGCACCTGCACTTACCATGCGAAACGCAGAGGTAAGTCTCTACTTCACACGAGTAGCCAAAGGATGGACAGGTCCGAACCTTTAAGACTGCCGAAGCGTCTAGAACAGATGTCCTCACTGACGTATAAGCAAACTCCAGACCGAGATACAAAGGAGCGATCCAATTTGTAGCCCGAGTAGGAGAGATACGAATTACCAGCCCGAGAGGACACTCGCGTCTCGGTCAGAAAGAGCAAAGCCGGCTTCGCCGTCTCCAGATGGTAGTGGAAGGCGTTTAGGGGTGCGAGTGAAGCCACCTGATGTTGCAGAAATCCACGTACTTTTTGCACAGTTTGCTTCGCCCCTCACCCCAGAATACAAGGGGCAGCCTGAGTACCCACGCTGAGGAGAGGAGTTGCTTGTTCGTGAACGTTCAGCGAGGGATCCTCCTTTACCAGGGGTGCTGGTAACCTCCTGGGTAGTCTCTTATTTAATTCCATTACCCTGTTTATGGGGGAGGAGGGAATTGGGCCTCCGGCCACCTGCACTTATGAGACGAATCGCAGAAGCAGAGCTTCTACTTGACGCTGGTTTTGTGTGCGGTCGTGGTATCCACCCCTGATTGCACCGGCCCATACGAACAAAAGCAAAAGCTGCCGCGTGGCTACCACTGTAGAACTAATATTTAAACTTGGTAACAATATTACAATCAATATTATAAATCTGACATATTACGTTGATTGTCTGCATTCTCAACGTTTATTATTCTGAAGGCTGAAAGTTTCACATTTAACGCGTAAGAAAAGAACAAAAAACATGTTTTTAATTCTTCTGAGTTGTTATCATGCTGCTATCCACCTGTTCGAAGCGCGGGTAGGCGGGCGCGTAGCCGTACTGCCAGTCGGGCAGGTGCCGTGTGCGTACGTACCTGCTGGTGGTGGGCGGGCGGCGGCGCAGGGTAGCCGCTGTAGTAGGGCGCGTTGTAGGGCGGGTAGGCGGGCGGCACGGCGGGCGCGTAGCCGTACTGCCAGTCGGGCAGGTAGCCGCGCACCAGCTGCCCGCCCCAGCCGCCGCCGTACCCGACGAACGGGCCGCCGTACCTGCACACCATCACCACACCACTTCCATTATAAACTCTTACTAATATACTTGAATGAATTACCTAATAAGGATGAAAAACTTTTCGAAAACATGATAAAGAAATAGCGCTCTAATTTCAGCTTTATACATTGTAACACGCCATTGAAGCAGATGAGTACAGGAGTACGAAGTAAATGGTATTGTCTGTATAATTCATACACACATCAAAAAGTTTGCGATCAGTTTGAAAAATCTTAATTTCTTCTCCTTTTTAGATTCTTTGGTTAAAACATAGAATTGGTATATAAAACAATAAAACAAATTCAATTGTATTTTCGCAGAGGTAGCACTCGTATCATTCGGAATTGCTTACACCTCGACTACGAGCACAGATGTCTTGGCGAGCACCTCTGAATTCACGGCAACGTCAGCGACGGAGATTGCAGTGAGCTAAGCTCTGGCAAAATTAGGAGTAAAACATTTGGCAAAACGGTCGTTGATGAATAGCGAAGCAGTACTCATCTCGATAACCGTTGTAACTTCTGTATCGTTATCCAACTACACTGGTGTATGAAAAAACCCGAGTACTAAATGTATGTAAACTTTTTATTTATGAGTGCATACGTAAGTACCATCCTATAACTCAATATATATCAAAATTACAAAGAAAAGGACATTCAAATATCCAACCCCGAGAACAAGAAGTGTATTTGCAAAAAGACACTATAATTACATTGCTCCGCATTTACACAATAAGCTACACTTTAACTTACATTTAAATGATTACAGTAACCATCAAATAAAAGCAATGATCAGAATGTGGCTTGAGAACCTTGATTATGACAGCACAGAGGCACTTATGCCGTAGGTTTACCACACGCAGCGCTTACACGTGTCTATTACAACACATGCTTACCCGTGCGTAATTATTTAAGAGAAATTGACCTTTTGACTAAGCTAACTTTAAGGGGAGGAACTGCTTCTTGAAACACAGTTGTACTAGTTCAGGGGCCAGGGAATCAATGACTTTACGTAAAAAAAGTTGTGTTATAAAATAAATTAATAATCATTATTATGTTCTTTCCGTGTCTGAAGAAGCCCTGGAGACTCTGAAAGGCAAAAAACTGCCACTAGAACCATTTTACAAGACGGAAATCAGCGTCCTTTTGAGGTGGAATTATGAATGGAGCTAGAACGCCTTTAATCACAAGGTTGAACTGGCGTGCCGGCTCGCCTGACTTAAACCCAATAGAGCACGCGTGGGATGCTCTTACTCGAGCTGTTTGGAACAGTCAGCTACCTCCCCAGACAGAGCCAGAGATCAGGGAAACCACCATTCAAGAATGGGACAAGTTACGGCAGGAAGTGCTGGATAATTTGATCCTCAGCATGCCCAGGAGGAATTCCGCATGTGTTCGAGCCAGGGGAGGATTTATATTGTATTAAATTAAAACCTTCTATTAAGAAATTGTTGTATATTTAAGTTTGGTTAAACTATATTCACATCAATTTTTGTTACAATTATAATACAAATGAGTTACTCAATTCTTGTTATTACAAAATAAATAAAGTTTTATTCTTTAATTTCAAACAGTGTTATTCTATTTAAATAGAGATATAACGTAAACACTATTGCTTGATAAAGTTAAATTTTAAAAGTATATCAGCTTTTGCTAGTGATCACAAACTTTTTTTGAAGTGTGTACTCAACCACTATTATAATTAACATTAATTTAATTCAGTTTTTGAAAATAGAAGTAAATAAGGATTCAACTTTTATTTGAAGTTATCCCAAATTGAATGGCAAATGAATGGGCAACAACGTTTTTGTCTACCGATCGACTCTTACGCATGTGTGCGTGCGGAGTAAAAAAAGTAACGAATTTTGAATTTTAGAGGAGAAAAAGGACATACTGTTTGATTTTATTTTAATTATTTTTCGTCACCATTTGCCTAAATTACTTATTCTGAACCTTCTCTACAAATTTGGCCGGTAAATGCAAAATAACCCTGTATATAAATAAATATTTATCAATTATTTATTTGTTTATCAAATAATCCCATGTCAATTTACGTTCAAAACTTTGCATAGCAATAAAATATATTCAATGGTCCTTCAAGCTAGGAATTTAAGTTAAAATCTATTGAAAGAAAGATTTTTATCAAATGTAGAGATTATACTAACTATATAGTATACACTACAGTATAATGAAAAATTTTAAACTAGATCTTATTAGTACGTGCATCGATGCTAAGCGATAATTGGTACTCACTCTTGATGATGGTATTTAATTGACATATTTCTTTTTCTCCAATGGTAAAAAAATTTTGTATGTTTAAACTATAAATATAATTGAATATATTCTTATAACAACACTAACGTTACAACAGCATCATTTTACAATACAATAAGAGCTTAAAGAGACGGTAGATTTCACTTACCCGTTGTTGGGGTACGCGGGGGTGCCGTAGGCCCCGTAGGGCGGGTAGAGCGGTGGCGCGTAATCCGGCAGCGCGGGCGCTGCCGCCTCGCCGCCCGCCCCCGCCCCCGCCCCCGCGCCCGCCCCGGCTCCCGCCCCCGTGCCGCCCTCCGCAATCGAGGGGATCTGGTCCACCAGCGACTCCAGCCCCGACAGCGACTTCGACGAAACGTCTTGCGGCTTGCCCGCGGGGAACTCGCCCGGGGACCCTGCACGACAAGAACGGCATGCTAAATTTTGGATGCCGCCGATGAAAAGTAAAAATGTAATGGGGCTCACTGAATATCAGCGGTGTTGTTTTGGCGACAGCTAAGCTGAGAGCTCCGTTTGCCTAATGCGCCACAAAATTAGTAAATTGGTTTAATGTTCATAATTTGCATTTAAATGGCACTAAAACTAAATGTATGAAATTTATAACTCCTAATGTCAAACACGTTAATACTAATATAATTTTAAATGGGAAGGAGGTGAATCTTGTATATACCATAATTTTTAGCGGAATCACACTATACGCAAAGTTTCAATGGGGCCCCCATATATCAAAACTAGCAAGCGGACTTAGTTCTGCAGCATATGCTGTAAAAAAGGATTAGAACTCTTACCAGTGATGAAACAGCTAAACTAGTCTACTTTAGCTATTTCCATAGTATAATGTCGTATGGTACTTTGTTACGGGGACACGCGACTGACACTGAAATTATATGTTTTACAGAAGAGGGCCATTAGCGTAATTTATGATTTAAAACCTAAAGTCGTTCAGACAAAAAATTAAGAAAATTAACTTCGACATCTCAATTAATTGATATAATATATAATATTAATATGAAAATAAGTGATATTCATTCTGTAAATACTAAGAACAGACACACGCTAGTAGTACCAGTTACTCGACTCCACCGAGTCAGTAATTCATTCTTGGGGCGATGTATACGCTTTTACAACAAAATCCCAGAAAATATACAAAATTTGACCTGCGCAAAAGGGGTACCAGTGTAAAATTATTAAAAAAAGTGGCTTTCAATAAGTATTATTCATAATCAATATTAAATAAAAAGTTTCTGTTTTTGGTACTGTTTTGGTGTTTAATTGGAGTATAATTACCTATTAGGTAAAACAATCAGTACTTAAGTAAGGAACTACGTGAGGGTTTAAATATGTTAGTTACCGGGCGGTTGATTATGATCGTGGTGTTCATGGTGTTCATGGTGTTCGTGGTGTTCGTGGTGGTCGTGGTGGTCGTGGTGGGAGTCCGCGGCGCGGAATGGGGAGAAGGCCGCCTCGCCGCCCCCGCCCACGCTCCCGACACCACCTGACGGCGATCTGAAACAACACAAACATTTAATGTTTTGTTTTTTAGAAAAAGAAAGGGTAACAAAAGTGCACAGGGCCCATAGACATCAACATCTTTCTACGATGACGACTAAGATGAAATGCCTCAATTCCAGTAAAAAGGGTCTCTGGTTCTCTACACTCACCATACGAGTCGAGTCGACCCATTCGTGCCACAACCATAATATCGCCTGCAGCGTGGCTCTATCACGTATCATGTCAAGTCTTACTAAGAGCTAGTATGTTGTTTGTAGCAGCCCGTTGACACAGGAATTACAACACGTCAGCAGTAAGTACGTACGATTTGTGTTTTCTGCAACCACCATTTAGTACTAAGATCAACATTCGGCTGAACTCGTAACTACCAAATTCTTACATTTTTTACATTGCTTTCCAATCACCGATCAGAGAGATTATTATAACTTACTGTAGCACAAATAGGTAAACAAGAAAGTGATACGCCACCGTCTCACAGAATACCAAAATATCGGCATAATGCTTAAAAATAGTAATAAAAAAGAGTGATAAACAAGCACACAGTCCATCCGACGATAAGTGGATGCTGTGGGGCCCACTGACATCTACATCTATCCCAAATGAACAAAACGCAGAATACGTTGTCGTCCTGAACACTAAGACGGAATGCCTCTTTAGTGGAAAATCCAGTAAGAATCCCCGATTTTCTACAATCACGATAGGAGAAACACAACAGCTTTAAGTTGCTATTTCACGCAAATCCTCCTAAAACGTGGCCCTTCTAGGTAGGGTCGACCCATTTGCGTCACAACCATACCACAGCGCCATGTATAAAATGATGTTTTTTTATAAGTTTAAAAAACCTCTATAGACCTAAGGAGTGAATTCGCATTTTTTAAAATATAAACCAAGAGTGATAAATAAGCACATAGTCCACTTGACGATATATATATATATATATATATATATATATATATATATATATATGTATATCATCGGATATTCTTAATAAAGAAATTTGTCGTTTTTACGACATACACAAAACGAAATGAGGTGTTGGATTTCTATAAAGAAAATTATAACACCATCACCACTCGGTGATACTAAATAAAACTATTAATTGAAGACAGATGCCGAAAGGGTTATATTAACCACTCAGGCCCCGACAGTGTATTGGACCAACTTAGCCAGAGAGTCAAGCCAAAGAGTATAGTAGGTTAGGCCAATAACAATATTTTTATTTAAATTAAGATAACTATAACTTAGAGTCGTTATCATGTTCTTATCCAAAAATAAAAATCATCAATAATTAAAATATCGAATTATTTGTATGAAGGTCAAGTGAGAGCTAGAGAAACGACTATTGCAAGACGTTGTCGACAAATAAAATGTTTTGAGAAGTTATCCGTTACCGCGTTGTGGTGGTGCATGAATATCCATATCATCCCGTGGATGTTGTAAGAAGGGACTATGCTTGGAGAAATGTTATTTTTAAATAACTGTGACCGTCGTTCCAGTTACAAAAAAGTAATAGTGAAAAATCATCGTGACTTTGTCACGTTGGATAACTACTTGCAACATTGGAACGACTTATAACGTGACTTTAAATATGCATTTTAGATTTAGTATTACGTTTTATTTCAGTTCCTCGCCTAAGCCACGAACGTGACTATTTTATAAAAACTAATTATTAAGCGTGTAAGTTAGATGAATAACTAATATTATTTTTAGAAATTTGTATTGATGTCCAATGCCCACGACGGCAAAATCCGACAGTAGGAACGGGACACATGCAAATATACCGATACAAACATAAACATAAATCAAAATATTATAGTAATAACAAAAAAATATACAACATAATTATATCGATATAGTAATATATACACTCAGTAGGTGCCTACACATCAGGGTATCATCATGTAATTATGTTCATTATTTATCATCCCTTTCCCACTCCTTATCCTAAAGAGTTGGTGAAAAGAGATAGCCGCCGCTGTAACTAGCAGATTCGAAGTAAAAGACAACGACCGTTTTTTCAATTCATTTTCAGATCACTTACGAGTAACATCGGACATCGCCTGTCATTAACCCGCTGTGAAATGTATCCAGCCCCGCGTAAATGTGAAGTGTTCATATAAATTACATTTAAAAAACTATTGTCGAGTAAGTGTTACAAACAAGAGAAAAGATCAGCAGCCGCACGGAAGAGAGCTCAGCTATCGGGTAAGTCACATACTATTCCCTCCTGTAATTACCATAACAGCATCTTTGCACCACCATACTTTATTACGCTTTCTTTAACCAATGCTATTGAAAACAACTTTGTCATGATATTAACGATATATCGGAATTATAGCACAAAACGTAATTTTCGCACAATGGACCTTGTAGAATATAATTTTATTTTACATGATTTATAGCGAAAACTACGCTTGCACTTCTTATTTGTGGTAAAACTAACACTTTACATTTAATTTTAGTTACTTCTGACTAGTTTATTCCTCACGTTAACGACACAGTATTTGAAATGCAAATTTTATAAATTGTTACGAGAAAAAATATATGCAAATAACTTTTAAAACAGACAATTTTCTACCTTTTATATAAAAAACGGACAACAAACTTACTTTCACTGGCGACACGCACTGGTTGTACAGTCTCGTTTTCAGGTTTTGAGGTATAGCTGACGAGAAGATGTATAATTTCCCGAACGCTGCCCAGCCGAGTTGAAGCCGTCGAGTGACGTCTCGGTCGAAGTTGGACTTACCTAGTCGGACTATTTGTCCCAGGTAAACGTATTCGTCAACAACTTCGAGCTTAGTGCTCCCAACAACTACCGGCCTCAAAGGCCGGAATCAAAGGCTTTCTTATAGTCCACATACGCCAGGCAAAGTGGCAGATTGTACTCTTCGGTCTTCTGTACAATTTGCCGCAGGGTATGTATGTGGTCTATGGTGCTGAAGCCTTTTCGGAAACCGGCTTGTTCGGGAAGCCGGAAGTCGTCGAGTCTGCATGCGAGACGATTCGTAATGACTTTTGAAAACAGCACCTAGACGCGGTTTTCGGTCTGTAGTTCTTCAAGAGAGCGTTGTGACCTTTCTTGAAGAACAAGACTACCGCACTTCTGCTCCACGCCTCCGGAGTAGTACCACCATGGAGGATGGAATTAAAGAGCTTCTGAAGGACTTTAAGTATCGGTGTTGCACTCGCTTTCAGAAGCTGTAATTCCATCATCGCCTGGGGCCTTGCCGTTTTTAAGGTGCTGGAGAGCCATTCTAATCTCGCTCAGACTGACGTCCGGGATATCATCGGAATAGTGTCGAATATGACTTGCTTTTGGATCGTAACTCACACTTGCAAGTGGCTGCAGCGATCATGTGTACAGCTGCCCATAGAACTTCTCAATCTTACTTAAAATCTCAGGTGTCCCGGAAACGATGCTGCCACACTCAGTCTTCAGCTTTGACAGTTGGCTCTTTCTGGCAGACAGATCTTTGGCAAAGACTTTAGAGCCCTGGTTCCGCTCCATCGCTTCTTCAATACGAACAGTGTTAAAGTTGCATAAGTCCCGCCGCATGTGTTTGTAGATCTGTCTGTTCAGTTGCCTGTATGCTGTCAAATCTGTTGACGATTGCAGCTTCATCTCCAGCGATGAGATTAAGAGTGTGATCGGAGAGTTTTTGTGTTCATCTGCGGCAGGTCCTACAGAACTTAGCTCCGACCTCATTGACAGTTTCCACGAGCTTGTCATTCATATAGTCCACTGCATTGCAATCTTCTAGGCACTGAAAACGGTTTTGTAACTCGAGCTGAAAGGTTTCGGGATTCTGGATTAGAGCACGAGGGGGACGTAGTGTTGACTTCATTAGACGAGACCTCTCCAACTTAACGTTTAGGTTCAGTGTGCCTCTAACCATTCGGTGATCGCTGCCAGTTTTAACCCTTGCGATCACTGAGACATCACTGAACAGTTGGCGTCTGGTCCTCATAATGAAGTCAATCCGTTGCCCTATCTCAAATTTTCCTACCTTCAGCTCACCGTTCTTTCTTGTGCCTAGCTTTGCGTTGAAGTCTCCTATTAACACCGTATAGTGGGTTTTGAAGGTACGCATGGCTCTAGAAATATCCTCATACATTTCCTCCATCTCCTCATCGGGATGTGCCGACGTTGTTGTGTAAGTCTGTATGACCTTCAGCGAATACCGTTTGGTGATTCTGAGTATAAGGTACGCAACCCTCGTCGATACACTCCCAATCTTTTACAACGTTGTTAACGAGAGACGTGTGGACGATAAATCCAACACCTCCTTGGGACAGATGGTCGCTCTCCTGGTGATAGAACAAGTTGCTGTATTCGAGAATCACCGTGTCCTCCCCCTCTCTTTGGACCTCGGATAATCCAATCCAGGTTTTTTTTTATAGAAGAGGGGGCAAACGAGCATGCTGCTCACCTGATGTTAAGTGACTACCGCCGCCCATGATCAACCGCAACACCAGGGGAATTGCAGGTGCGTTGCCGGCCCTTTAGAAAGGAGAAAGCTCTTTTTTTGAAGGTCCCCAGGTCGTATCGGTCCGGAAAAATCGCCGGTGGTAAACTATTCCACAGAGAGGTTGTACACGGAAGAAAACTCCTTTTGAAACGTACTGAGGTGGACCGCCAAGCATCCAGATGGTGTGGATGGTATCGGGACGTTTGCCGCGTAGTGCGTTCACGAAATTTGGCGGCTGAGATTAATCCGAACAACTCCTCAGAGCACTCTCCATGGTATATGCGAAATAAAATGCAAAGAGATGCAACATCTCTTCGCAGCGCCAGTGAATCGAGCCGATCGGAAAGCACTCGGTCGTCGACGATTCGAGCCGCTCTGCGCTGGATGCGGTCAAGTAGAAGGAGCTGGTACTGGGGAGCCCCAGCCCAGAGATGGGAACAGTATTTCATGTGCGGCCGAACCTGCGCCTTGTAAAGTTGCAGGCGGTGTGCCGGCATGAAATACTGTCCCGCTCTGCTGAGCGCGCCAAGCTTATTAGAGGCCAATTTGGCCTTCTCTTCCAAGTGACCACGAAACTGCACGTCACTCGAGGATTCCGATACTGGCTGAGGCAACAATGGGAGTGCCTTGAAACTGAGGAGATACGACAAAGGGGTTCTTTTAGCGGTTAATGCGCAAACTTGTGTCTTCTGGGGGTTAAATTGGATTAGATTTAGTAGTCCCCAATTCGAGACTTTGTTTAACAAGGACTCGAGTTCAGACACAATTTATTCCGGCACTCGGAGACGTTTTCCCGAGAAATATTGGCTCGGCCGGTATAAAGAGCATCACCAGTGCTGTCATCTGCATAGCACTGAATGTTACGGTTTTGCAACATATCATTGATATGCAGAAGAAACAGCGTTGGCGATAGCACGCAGCCTTGTGGAACAGCATTAATAGGCTTGCAATCGGAGCTTGCACCGTCTACAACGACCTCGATGCTCCGATCTGCAAAAAAGCTGGTGATCCAATCGCACAATTTCTCGGGAAGCCCATAGGAAGGGAGCTTCGAAAGAAGCGATTTGTGCCGAACCCGATCGAAGGCCTTCGCAATGTCCAAACTAACGGCCAATGCCTCCCTCTTGGACTCTACTGCCTCCGCCCATCTGTCAGTTAGGTAGACCAGAAGATCACCAGCTGACCGAACACGGCGAAAACCGTATTGGCGGTCTAGTGACTGATTAGTATCAGCTGGTGATCCTCAAGGTACCTCATGAGCTGGCAGTTTACAATGGACTCCATTGTTTTGGAGAACAAGGAGGTGATGGCGATAGGCCGGTAGTTGGACGAGTCTGAGCGGTCGCCTTTTTTAGGGATCGGGTGGACGAAATCCGTCTTCCATGATTTTGGGACTACGCCTAGGGAGTAGGAGCACCGGAAAAGACGCGTTAAAACCGGTGCCGACTCTGGAGCACACGTCCTCAGCACAATTGGGGGGATTCCGTCAGGCCCACTCGACTTGTGGAGGTCCAGGGAGAGGAGTGCTTTGCGAACCGAGCGCTGTGTGAACTGCACTTCCGGCATGGAGCACTCACACCGCGGGATGGTCGGCGGCGTACTTCCCCCGTCATCGAGAGTCGAGTTGGACGCAAAGAAAGAGCCTAGAAGATCGGCTTTCTCCTTTGCGGAATGGGCCAGTGAGTTGTTCTCCCTGTGCAGAGATTGAAGAGATGGCTGACAGAAATTCCCCTGGACAGCCTTGGCGAGAGACCAGTATGCACGGGTTCCAGAAGGAAGGCGAACTAGTTTCTCGCCAATTCTGCCAATGTGCTCTGACTTTGCCTTGGCAATGACTCTTTTGAAGGACCTAGAGGCGGAATTATACTTCTGTTTTAGAGCGCTGGTGTTTACATCGCAGGACGCTGATGCGTCAGCCCAGGCTCGGTAGCACTCCTGCTTATAACATGATGCTATTTTACAGGAGCGACCAAACCATGGCTGAGATTTGCCTCCAATGGGCACCACAGAGGAAGGAATAAAAAGTTCCATACCCTGAAGTACCACATCAGCGACAGAATCCGCAACAACGTTGGGATCGTCCAGCGTAGTACATATATATATAGTATATATATATATATATATATATATGTACTACGCTGGAACATATAGTAGACCATATGCCAAGGCAAAATCATGAACAGATCTCCCCCGCATGATCGGTTAAACGTGAACCAAGCCATTCGGCGTGATGGGCGTTAAAGTCGCCGAGGATCACGATCTCTGCGAAGGGGATCTGCTGTAGCAATGAATCTGTAGCCATTTGGACGTGGTCGAAGAGTCGGTCTGTTTCGGCATTACCGCTATGGGACCTATAGCTGATGGTCGCCGCTGTCTAAGCGTAGCCACAGGATGGACAGGTCCGAGCCTTCAAGTCTGCCGAGGCGTCGGGAACAGATGTCCTCTCTGACGTAAACGCAAACTCCAGCCCGAGGCACAAAGGAGTGTTCCAGTTTGTACCCCGGGTAGGAGAGATACGAGACATCAGCGGGAGAGGACACCTGCGTCTCGGTCAGAAAGAGCAGAGCCGGCCTCGCCGTCTCGAGATGGTAGTGGACAGCGTTTAGGTTAGAGTGAAGTCCCCTGATATTGCAGAAATTCACGGACAGCGTGGCAGGGGTCGCCTTGGTCTTGTTGCTCCGTTTGCCCCGAGCAGTTGTAGTCTTGAGCGGAATTTTGCCCCCCCCCCCCCACAGAATACGCGGGGCAGCCTGAGCACCCACGCTCAGAAGTGGAGAAACATGGTCGTGGATGCTCAGCGAGGGATTCTCCAGGGGTGCTGGTACCCTCCTGGGGTAGTCTTTCATTATTTAATTCAGTTACCATGTTGATAGGGGGGGGGGGGATTTGGGCCTCCAGGATCTTGTCATCAGTCCTCAGGGTGCGTGCATTATATATTGCCAGGTCGAGTCGTCGTAGGTGGCAACCGAACCTCCACCGGAGATTGTAAGTAACCCCTGCCCCGCCGTTATCATGGTCGCCACTGTAGCAAGGTATAGGCCGTTTATTTGTCATAGTTGCCACGCTTACCGAGCGGGTTGGCAACCGCAATATTTTTGTTGTACAATTGCTGTTATCAGGAAGATGCTGCTGCCCATCTCCTGCATGTTTCCTTCTGTCACCTCTTACGACACCCACAGGGAGTTATGGGGTAGTGGATATTCTTAACCGTCACTACACGGCAGGTCATTTGAAGTAAATCCTCTTAATTTATAATTTAGTAACGAAACGAATTCTCAAAAAAAATTGTTCTAGGTTATAATACAACAAAATTTTTAATAATAAAATATATAAAGTTACATATTGATACTTATTTTATTATTAGAATAAAGTTTGTCGAAAAAATTGCAAATGATCTTTAAGAAAGACCTCACAATATTTTTACAATAAATTAATTATCTTTGAAGGATTTTAAAAAATTGACATCGTAGTCATATATATATATATATATATATATATATATATATATATATATATATATATATATATTAACTTATATATATCATAACACGCATTTTTATAGAAGAGAGGGCAAACGAGCATGCGGCTCACCTGATGTTAAGTGACTACCGCCGCCCATGAACAACCGCAATTCCAGAGGAATTGCAGGTGCGTTGCCGGCCCTTTAGAAAGGGGTAAGCTCTTTTCTTGAAGGTCCAGGTCTCCGGGTCGTATCGGTCCGGAAAAATCGCTAGTGGTAAACTATTCAACAGAGAGGTCGTACGCGGAAGAAAACTCCTAGTGAAACGTACAGTGGTGGACCGCCAAGCATCCAAATGGTGTGGATGGATATAATTTTTTTAGGAACAGCGTGTCTTTCAGCGACTTTATATTACCAATTTTTTAAGTATATGTGTGAACTGAGTGGTTAGACCCACTTCAGTCTGCGAGATTGTCTGGGTAATCACCCCCTTACCCAGTACCGGTATAAATGAAGCCTGTAAGGTATTTCATCTCGGTTCGTAGAGGTGACCACTTACAACCTAGCTGCAAGTTTCCATGGCTGAATCTGCTATAGCCACTTATCTTCAGGTGGACTGTAAGTTCGTTGAATACTTCAGTTTTAGAAGCGTAATTTAGTAACGAAACGAATTCTCATAAAATTATAGTTGTATAATTGTTATAAATAACATTGAAAAAATAATCGTTCTGAGCACACTTATCTATGGTTCTGAGTAAACGTAGTGATTATATACTCTTTGGTTCCAAGGGGTTTCTTCTAAATATTACTATACTGTTTGGAGGGGTATACAAAGGCGACATTTGATTATCGAATTGGATGGTTTGGTACCATTGGCATGGTTTGGATGGCTTAAAATGTTACATAATTTACAACTAACCTGTTGAAGTTGCTGGGAAACATGGAGGGATGCTGATGTAACTGGTCTAACCGAGGACTTTCTGACATACTGTTGCCTGAAACAATTATTTCAAAGGATATAGTTTTCAAAGTACAATAACACAACTTTAATATGGGATGTATCTGGATATCTGGATACATTTTTTTTAATATAGGATAGGGTGACAAACGAGCACACAGTCCACCTGATGGTAAGTGGTTGCTGTGGCCCATAGACATCCACATGTATCCTCGACTACGAAACAAAATGCAGATGCGTTGTCACCCGTGAGGACTAAGATGGAATGCCTCGTCTCCAGTAAAAAGGGTCTCCGGTTCTCTACACTCACCATACGAAACACAGCAGCATTAAGCTACTATTTCACGCTTGTATTCTGTGAGAGCGTGGTCCTTCCCCGGTCGAGCCGACCAATTCGTGCTACAACTATAGGTACTACTAATATAACTGCAGCACGGCTCTACCACGTATAAAAAACACATTATACATACATTCTTGATTCTTTACGGATTTCTTTTACGCCTATTCGAATTTTGGATCAGGCAGTATGTCGTGCTGCCAAAATGCGTACATTTGTATATTAGATGTACAAAACGCTATAGCGGTCAAATCATCGGCCTAACCTTGAATTGCCGGCGTATCACGAAATGATCGTGAATGCTACCGACCGTATGAGCGTGTGTGTGTGTGTGTGTGTGTGTGTGTGTGTGTGTGTGTGTGTGTGTGTGTGTGTGTGTGTGTGTGTGTGTGTGTGTGTGTTTTATGTGTGTGTGTGTGTGTGTGTATGTGTGCGCGTGTGTGTATGTGCGTGTGCGTGCGTGTGTGCGTGCGAGCGCTACCTTGTTCCTGCGGGAAGTAGTCGGGCTTGTCGGCGGGCGGGTAGGGCAGGCGCGGCGAGCCGTCGTACAGCGCGCCGCCGAACGTGTGTGTGTGTGTGCGTGCGCGCGTGTGTGTATGTGCGTGTGCGTGCGTGTGTGCGTGCGCGAGCGCTACCTTGTTCCTGCGGGAAGTAGTCGGGCTTGTCGGCGGGCGGGTAGGGCAGGCGCGGCGAGCCTTCGTACAGCGCGCCGCCGACATGTGTGTGTGCATGTGTGTGTGCGTGCATGTGTGCGTGCGCGAGCGCTACCTTGTTCCTGCGGGAAGTAGTCGGGCTTGTCGGCGGGCGGGTAGGGCAGGCGCGGCGAGCCGTCGTACAGCGCGCCGCCGAACGTGTGTGTGTGTGCACGCGTGTGTATGTGCGTGTGTGCGTGCGCGAGCGCTACCTTGTTCCTGCGGGAAGTAGTCGGGCTTCTCCGCGGGCGGGTAGGGCAGGCGCGGCGAGCCGTCATACAGCGCGCCGCCGAACGCGCCGCCGGCCACCGCAGGCGATGCCTCGCCGCCGCCGCTGCCGCCCCCACTCCCACTCCCGCCGCTCGTCTGCAACCACAAACACCTCACTACTGGATCCTATCACACGCAAAGAGATTTCTCTAGCATTAGCAATACTGCTCCTTTAAGTTCAAAATATAAATACTATACTCTACTCCAATTACGAAGTCCCTTTTGACACTTCTTAGAACGTACTCTTCACGTTTCGATAATTTGAAATAATAATCATTTTTTGTTCAAAAATAAAAAATCAATCTAAATCATTATACAATTAATTCACACACACAATCAACATATTGTTTTTAGACATCGTGCTCAAAATAATTAAAACTTTAAAAGATAATAATATTTTACTGCCGTTTTACGTTTAGGTTCTATAGTTTCATTTTTACTTTTTTACATAGTGACGTGACTAAAAGAATCGTATAAAATCGATTATAGACAGATTCTTTTCGCGAGTGAAAATCTGTCAACACTGCGTCCACCTCGTGATCACGACCGCCATTTAGTTTGCTCTTCAGTTCGAGTGCAGAAGCCTTGTATACGATACGCGTGTTCAGTTTAGTTGATTTTGTGTTGTGTTTTTATTTCGTTCTTGTTATTGTAGTTATAACTGTTTGATAATTCTTTCGTTGTTATTAAGTTTTTAATGTTATTTGATTTGTTTTTTTTTTGTATTTATAAACACTATGGCCGAAACTGAGACCACTAAAAGAACAGTGATGCGCAGTCAAGGGCGAGAGTTTGTAGTACGCCTACAAGATTACTTTGAAAGAGAGTATCAGAATGGTGGTCCATTGTTGCCACTTTCACAAGTGACTAACCGTGTAAGTGCAGCTCTTGGTATTAGTCGAAAAACTGTTTCCCGAATAAGTAAGATGGTAAATGGTAGAGATTTAATGGAAGATAACAAATTAAAATCGCCACTTTTACCTATTTTAACATTTTATCTATTGCATTATTAACACGCAAACCTTTATTTTAGGTTATGCGGCTCGTAAATATACAAGCCCACCGTTTACTGCAAACAAAATACTGTCATTGTTGCCAGAAGCTTGTGATAGTGTTACTGCCGCGAATTGGGAAAGTGTGGTTTTACGAACAAAAAATTTGATTTTCGCTGATTGGGACAGAGACATACATATCGATGCCGTCATAGATAACCAAATTATAATAAATACAGGGGATTCTACAGACGATGATGAGGGTGATGACGACGATGCCGACCATGAAATATCAATTTCGACTAGTGATGATGAATATGTTCCATCTTGATAAAAATATCATGTAATATTATCTGATTAAAATTAAAAAAAAAAACAGTTTTATAAATTTTAATTTGATGCTAATCCTTTTTCTGTCAATACGATTTTAATTTGTTCGTTACAGTAATCGAAGATCAATATCGTCAAGTATCGACTATAGCGGTACTTTACTAGTACTTGATTATTGACATCTGTCAAATGGGACTTCGTTATTGGAATAGAGTATAATATATACTTTTTACAGTTTTTAAAAATACGCGTAAGTAAGGTTTTGCTTACTATTAATTTCCTTAATGACACGTTCACAGTTGATGACTACGTTGCGCGAATTATGATTCCATTTTTCCCTTGATAATTTAAGCGGGCTTAGGACCGTCGTAATATATATATATATATATATATATATATATATATATATATATACACATATTACATTTTAACGACGTAACCGGTGACTGTATTTAATATGGCATATTTAAAAAATTGGAATCCAGTATTAACAATTAACAATTTAAAACGATTAACTATTTATAACAACGAAGTGTTTACAACTTAAATATATAATTACTTAAAATAACCATTCACAAATTTCTTTTGAAGGTGGATCATCGTTATTATTCAATGTTTGCACATGTTGGTAATGAAATTGGGGATATCCAGTACAATTCAGTAGTTATTAAATTTAGATCATTGTTTAAATCTTATGGTCTTTTTAATTTATTTTTGGAGCCAACACGTATTGCTGAATCTAGTGCAACATGTATAGATAACATTTTTACAAATATTAAGCCGTTCAATAAATGTATAATTCAAAAATTGAGCTCTGATCACTGTGGACAATTAGTTTCATTACCTTATGTTCACAAAGAGCAAGTAGATAAAAAAGTAGTGTTTGTTCCAGTAAATGCACATCGCTTGGAGAAGTTTAGAAGTAACATAGTAAAAAAACTTCCATTACTTTCATACCAAAATAATCCAAATTTTTTGTATGGAACATTATTTAAGCTCATTTGCAATGAATTTAATAATACTTTTACTTCTAAAACATTCTCCTTGAACAATCGCAAGGCATTTAATGAATGGGCGACATTAGGAGTCCATAAGAGTAATCAAAGGTTATATGAACTTTACAATGAAAGGTCATATAATCCTAGCGTCGAATTTAGGGAATATGTAAAAAAATATTCCAAAATATTTAAAAGAGTGTGCTCCTTAGCCAAGTCTACAATGACTTTTGAGCAACAAAATAAAGACTGCTTCTAATAAAATTAAAATATCATAGAGTATAATTAATAGTGAAACTGGTAAGGTCAACTCTCGCAATTCAAACTACCAGTTAAGTTTTAACAATAAATTAACTAAATCAGATCAGGATGTTGCAATGGTTTTTGAGAAATATTTTACTGATATTCTGATCTTAACCACTAAGTCATTGAATTCTTCTCCTGCCGTCGCCGAATCATTACTTAAACAAAATGTAAATGTGTGTACAAAGAATTTTACATTTCATAAAGTGTCATCAAAAGATATTGTAAAATATTTTAAGACTATTGATATTAAAAGAACCGCCGATCTGTGGGGGATTTCTGTTAAAGTTATTGCGTCTATAATAGATACAATCGCACCTCAACTATCTATTATTTTTAATACTAGTATCGAATCTGGAGTGTTTCCTTATTTAAAGAAGCATAGTAAAGTAATACCTTTATTTAAATCTGGTAGTACATTGGACCCCGTCAATTTTAGAACTATTTCTGTACTGCCAACACTTAATAAAATTTTTGAAAAAAATATTCTTGATCAAATGTTAATTTTTTTAATGTAAATAATTTACTTCATAAAAATCTATTTGGTTTCAAAAGGGGTCGCTCGACAACTGATGCTGGTGTTGAGCTGATTAAATATATATTTAATGCATGGGAGAATTCACAGGATGCTTAGGGTGTGTTCTGTGACCTATCCAAAGCCTTCGATTGTGTTCACCATAAAACAATAATCAGGAAACTTCAACACTACGGTGTAAGAAGCGATGCTCTTAAATTAATTATTTCATATTTAAGTGACAGAACGCATAAAGCTGTCATTAATGGTATAAGTTTTTCCTGGTCGATTGAACAAATGGGCGTGCCTCAGGGCTCAATTCTCGGCCCCTTTCTGTTTCTTGTATATATTAATGACTTACCTTACATAGTAGGGGATAACCATGATATAGTTTTATTTGCTGATGATACTTCATTAATTTTCAAATTAAAACGACAGTTATTAAATTACGACGAAGTAAATAATGCTATAGCGAAGTTAGTTAATTGGTTTAATGTTAATAATTTGCATTTGAATGGAACTAAAACTAAATGTATAAAATTCGTAATGTAATTTTAAATGGGGAGGAACTGAGTCTTGTTGATACCACCATTTTTCTTGGAATCACTTCAATGGCTCAATCAAGCTTCAATGGCTCCCATATATCAAAAATAGCTAGCAGACTTAGTTCTGCAGCATATGCTGTAAAAAAGATTAGAACTCTTACCAATGTTGAAACAGCTAGAATAGCTTACTTTAGTTATTTCCATAGCATTATGTAGTATGATATTTTGCTATGGGGACACGCGACTGACACTGAAATTATATCTATTTTACAGAAGAGGGCCATTAGAGCAATATATAATTTAAAAACAAGAGAGTCACTGAGACAAAAATTTAAGGAAATTAATATATTAACTCTGGCCTCTCAATACATTTATGAAAATGTAATGTACGTACACAAAAATAAAAGTAGTTTTGCGAAAATAAGTGATATTCATTCTGTAAATACTAAGAACAGACACACGCTAGTAGTACCAGTTACTCGACTCCACCGAGTCAGTAATTCATTCTTGGGGCGATGTATACGCTTTTACAACAAAATCCCAGAAAATATACAAAATGTATCATACACAAAGTTCAAAATATTATTAAACTTAGTTTGTATAAAAAGGGTTATTATAATATCAAGGAATTTATGGATGATAATAACCCCTGGGAAGGGTGATCGCTACCAAGCTATTTCTAATTTGTCTTGTGTTGCTAATTGTAAACATGATTGTAAGATATTATTGGAAAAAAATAGTCCCGCTGGGTTTCTTGCTGGTTCGTCCCAGGACAGAGGTTTTTTTTGCGAACCAGTGGTAAATGAAAAAAGTGACTTTCAATAAGTATTGTTATAATCTACATTGAATAAAAAAGTTTCTGTTTCTGTTTCTGTTTTCCACACGTACTGGTTAACTCTGTTGGTGCTAGCGCGGGGGTTTAGCTCGTAAAACTCGATCACTGCGTTTTCGGCAACCGGGCTTATTACTGAATGACCACCTCGAGCACTTCCATGTGACGAAATGGTAAACTTTGCAAAGTCTAACAGCGTTTGGTTAGCTACAAATATTGTTCTACGATTGGATGGTACACGTGCGTTAATTTATTGTCTTTGCAAATGCGGTAAAGACTCACTTTCGTTTAATTTTTGTGCACCACGTAAACTTACATTAGTTAAAATTTAACAACGTACATTTCATAGTATTTATATTTTTAAAATAGGGCACCAGTACGTAATGAGGTCACGGTCAAGTGAACACTGTCAGCCGGGCCCGGCCGGGTGAACGTTCCTAGCAGTGTAACGGCTCACGGAAGGGAAAGGGGTACTGGCAGAACGCCACCGACAGCTTCCGAATTCAACGATCCCTTACGAATGTGTGTTCGTTAATAAAATAATAGGCGCTACACATTTTCTAAAGACAATCAGTATGCAATTCCACACATTTAGAATACAAAAGATAAAAAGGACAAAATGTTTGAGTTTTCTTATTACATATTTTTTTCACAGTTCGTTTATTTTCCAATTCTGAACCTCCTCTACAAATTTCATCGGATATTGCAAAATAACCCTGTATAGCTGCAGCGTGGTTCTATTACGTACAAAGTTTGTAACTATATATACTATATTGTATAGAATGTAACAGAGTACTAGGCTGCACTAAAAGTATCGGGAATGGAATATTTCCACTGTTCCTGTCATATTAAAATCTTTTTAATTGAAAACTCCTTGGTTTTAAAAATCGAATACCATTTATTTATTTAAAATAAGATTCTCGGTCTTGTCACAAGGTTTTGTCAAACTTGTTTAGTCGTTGAGAAAATAGAATTGACTCGAGAAAATTCAAGAGCGATGATTTATTATGACTTTCGAAGTGGTTTAACACAAAAACAGTGTGTTGACCGGATGATTTCTGCATTTGGTGATGAAGCCCCATCAAAAACCACAACTTATCGCTGGTTTGCTGAATTTTAAAGTGGACGTGTCAAGCTCAGTGATGATCCCCGTCAAGGTGGTCCAAAAACTGCAGTCACCCAAGAAAACGTTGATGCTGTGCGTAAGCTGATTGAGGAAGATCGACATGTGACATACCGCGAAATTCAGGCAACTTTAGACATTGGCATGAGTCAAATACAAATAAATTTGCATGAACAATTAGGTGTAAAAAATTGTTTTCCCGATGGATACCGCATTCGCTCTGTGAAGAGCAAAAAGCGGCTCGCGTTACTTGGTGCGTCAGAACTCTCGAAAGATTTCACGCAGGATCCTCAAATGCTGTATACAATATTGTATCAGGTGACGAATTCTGGATATACGCGTACGAACCCGAAACAAAAAACCAGTCACAAGTTTGGGTGTTAGAAAATGAGTTAAAGCCAACAAAAATTGTTCGTTCACGGAGTGTTGCAAAAAAAATGGTGGCCACGTTTGTCTCCAAAACCGGCCATGTTACGACTATTCCTCTTGAGGGACAAAGAACGGTTAATGCAGAATGGTATGCTAGCATTTGTTTGCCACAGGTCGTTTCTGAACTCCGTAAAGAGAACTGCAACCGCCACATCATCCTCCATCACGACAATGCGAGTTCTCACACCGCACACAGAACAATAGAGTTTTTAGAGCAGGAAAACATAGAGTTATTAGACCATCCGCCGTACAGCCCCGACCTAAGCCCTAATGATTTCTATACTTTCCCTAAAATAAAGAATAAATTGCGTGGACAGAGATTTTCATCACCTGAAGAAGCTGTGAACGCCTACAAAACGGCCATTTTGGAGACCCCACCTTCCGAATGGAATGGTTGCTTCAATGATTGGTTCCATCGTATGGAAAAATGTGTCAAATTTCGCGGAGAATACTTCGAAAAGCAATAAATACATTTTTAAATAGTAATGTTGTGTCACTTTCTTGATTCCCGAAATTTTCAGTGCCGCCTTCGCAGTGTTCTTTTATATTTAATAAATCACAGTGATATTGCGAATGAAATACGATTTCAATTTGGATTAGTCATTGATATTTTTATTTGTGTACATACATAGTATGTAGATTTGATATTTTCCCAAATTTTTATGATAAAAAGTGACATTTATCATAAAAATTTGGGAAAATATCTGATTTTGAGTGAAAAAAGGCAATTGAGTGCACTAGTTATACATTGAAATAATTAGGACAATTATTCAATGAGTAGTTATTACTCAGTATGTCGGTTAATTAGTAAGCTGAAATGGCAATAGGCCGACCTTATAGCTCAAAGAACCAACAATTGATGAAGAAGAAAGGTTCTCGAGTGACAGCCTGGTACCGGTAGACGAAGTGTAGGGTACACTCCCACTAGATGAAGTGAAGATCGGATAAGACATACAGGAACTCCATGGATGTAGGTGACTCAGGTCTGTGCTTTGTGGCATTCTTTGGAGCGGCCTATATTCAGCAGTGGACTTGTGAAGGGCTGTAATGTTAATGATGGTGGACCAAGAGCCTAATGCTGACGATAATCCTAATGCTCTAACGGGGCGTAGGTAATTATGTAAGAAGTGCCTAGTTGAGGTAGTGTTGGCTTTACATTATTCAGTGTGGCGGCGGCGGTGCGTACCTTGTTGTAGTCGGAGAGTGAGGAGTTGCTGTTGCTGCCAGGGTGCATGTCGGCGCTGCCGATGGGGCTGGGCGCCACGTCGTTGGCCAGGTCGTCGCGCGGCGGCTCGAAGTCCAGCGGCACGGGCGACGCGGCCGCCTCGAACGGCGGCGCGAACTGCTCCGCGTACGGCGAGCTGTGCTGGCTGTACGGCGTGGCGGGCGACGCGTAGCTCAGCGCCGCCGGTGAGCCGCTCGCCGCGCCGCCCACCGCGCCGCCGCCCGCGCCACTCGCCGCCCCGCTGCCCGCCCCTCCCGCGCCGCTCGGTGCCGGCGACCGCGCGTAGGGCGTCTGCGGCGCGACCTACAACAATAGCACATCTTCAATACATGCGTCACCAACTATCTACTTCCCGTGTATTAACACAAAAAACAACGTAAATAGAATTATATTTTTAATAAATTGAATGGAACAAAAAACGACTTTAAATAAATAAAAAGGATAAATAATTTTCTCATAACAGCTTCGGCAAACAATGCTAGAATGAAGTGTACAAAATGGTTTCATTCTTTTTAATTCTGTGAACTGATTGACGATGCAAGCCTATTCGCAATCTCATATGGTCCTGTGGCCTGTCTATCAGCATCTTTCTGATAACAACACAAAATAATAAAAACTGCAGTTGTCAACTTAGCTTGGCAACTGTGACGAAGTCTTCTCTTGAAGGCTTATACTGACATCATTCACAATGAATATGGTTATGTCATTCATAACAATAATGAAGTTAGAAGCTATCAAAGACCAGCATACAGTTGAACAATGATGTACGTCAAGAAAATGGCGGACGATAGGAGTATTATTCTGACAGAAGGGTCCCAAAATAAGATGAATAAAGTTAGAAAACGAAAGATTAACCATGCAAGAATGTAAGATATCAAAAGAAAAAAGCCTCAAGATCATGTGTCAGGTGATGAATATATTTCGCAACGAGGCGTACATGTACCAGCTAAAATACCGCCACCAATTGTAAGTAGAACAACGCTGTACGTTTAATTGAGGTTTGATTTTGATCACAATTTTTTGTTAACCTTGTTCAATGTATTTTTATTTTTGTTTCAGGCTCGTATTTGTAAAGATGCAAAAAAAGTTGTGCGTCATTGACATTAGAGCAAAAGTTGAAATATTACCAGGATTATTACAAATTGAGTTATGATAACCAGTCATGTTTTTTAATGCAGTATATTAATATTAAGGAGCCAACACGAAGGAAAAAGTGTAAGACAGTTATAGCTTTGGTATAAACAATGTTGGCCAACGGTATTCAGTAAGGAACTTGTGGAATGAAACTATTGCAAGAAGAGGATCTGCAGAGATATTGATTTGCTTCATGTATTTTAAAATACATCATGGATAATTTTGAGCCGTTTGAAGAGAATCAAGAACAAAAACTTATTGTTTGGTCAGACCGTTGTGTTGGTCAAAATAACAAGCTGCCGAGTTCTATACTAATCTACCTATAAATTAGTATTTTACTCATGGGAACAAAAGGAAATCATAAGGAGCTAAGGCAGGGCTGTGGGGTGGGTGACTCAGAGTTTCAACACCAGATTCCTCAGTAAATGCTTTTGTTCTAAGGGAGATATGTCAAGAGGCGTTATCGTGATGCACCATGATTCTCCGAAGCCCGGTCTTTGGTCTTCACTCCCGCACAGCTTTGGGTAATGTAATGTAGTATATTATTCAAAGTTGACTGACCTACAATTTTCCAGCATTAACGTCGACAAATGTCACAATTTTTTTGCCGACGTTGTTAGGTCTTTTTTCAAGGAGTAACTGTCCTAAGTAGACCCATACCGATGATTGCGTTTATTTTCCGGATCATATTGATAGATCTATGTCTCGTCACCAGAAAAGATTTCTGAAACACGCCTAGATGCCTCGTTTTAGAAACGTAGACGCATTTCATGGCACCAATCCACACGAATCTGTTTTTCGCTTTCGGAGAGCAAACGAGGGATCCATCGACAACAAAGTTTCCTCACTCCAAGATGTTGATGTAGGATGGTACGAATGCTCCCCTAACTAATGCCTACAATCTTTTCGATGTCCGTATATGTGATTCGTAGGTCTTCTCGCACCAACATTTCTGTAGTCCATACATTTTCTGCCGTTACTACTGTTTGCGGGGCCCCGGTTCTTTTTTGGTCAACTTTAAGGTTAATTTAACCCCTTTTCATTTCAGTAAATTACATAAAAATTGTTGCGCATGATGGAGCTGAGTCCTCTAATGCTGATTGTAACCGTTGTAAACTTAATTGTTCGGTTAAACCAATTGTTGAGAGTTGAGTTGAGATCATAATAGATCATAGCGCATAAATGTTCACAGTTAAGATCCATCGTTTTAAATGAAAAACGCGGAAACCGTTACAGGAAAATTAATAGAACTTTGTTTTTTTTTAATATTGAGCAATTGGCTTATGGAGTTCAATTTTTAAATAAATTTGCTTTTTTGAAACATATAATAACACGGGTGCGTTCCATTTTTAAATTTCGAGTATCTCAAAACTTATCGAGTGACCTACGTATAAACTTTATATTATTACAGCTTTGTTGAACAACGCTATACAGCTGTTACAGCCCTCAGTTACCGCGACAAAAGTCGACTGGATTAGGGCCCATCAGTAATCCAATTCGACGAGCAACTGAGGGGAGGGCCCAATGGCCTATGGATAATTAATTTATAACGGATGTATGAGCAAACACAAACTTACCGAGCTCCGGAGGTAGTGTCGAGCACAAGGCACCGTCAGGGGTAAGTAAATGGTATGTGTGAGTGGTGCAGGAAAGTGTTTAATGTAACCTGACGTCACCGATGTAATCGTTCAGCAGGACCACATACGTTGCCATGCTCCACAAGGCGCAATCACTTTAGAGGGCGCCTGCCGTTATCGGAACTCAAAGACTAACGTCACTTAGCACAAACTATAATCAAGCGCGATCTCCACCCGGGTTACAAAGTTGAGCGTTCAACCGAAAAAGCAAGATTTCTTAGCACGATATTAAAACACAACACAGCCACGCGTCGATGCAAATTAATAGCAATCGAAGTTAAAATAGTCACTCAAAACTCAAGAATAAGCCTTGTTGTCACGCACATTAACGAAATAAAACAACAGAATGGAGGCCGTCGCAATGCGACGTAGCAATTCCTATGTATCCCGCGACCTCTAATCGACACAGTCGTCGCGTCCAATCGAGTATTCTTGACTAACTCCCCGACCCCCCACCGGCACGGCCGCAGCGTACAAAGATTCTTACAGACTGGCAGGCACCGCCGTAGGCGCAAGCGAATGCACCCCTCCCGCGCAACGCTAAACCGGTTCCCCGCTCGGAACTAGCGCCTTGAAAGTTGTAGCTTGCTACAATCGAGCGTAAACAATAGCATTGGTCTATTAAATAAGATTTAAAATGTTGTTTAAAATGATGACTGTTATGTTTCTAAATGTTTCATTACTCATTTTCTGCGTAAAAGTTCCTAATAATTATAACTTTGTAAAATTTTCACAATAAAATGGTATTGCAGCAACTTTATAATGTATTTTATTTTCTCAAAACTACAAATTGCTACATACAGCGTTGTTCGAGCGCACGCCCCAATTATAATGGATAATGTATCACTGTTGTAAATATATCATTCATCGTCATAACTTAAGAAAAGGGATACGTGTAAGTGCGTGTCTACATGTACGTGTGAGTTCGTGCGTACATATATGAGTGCGTGCGTACATGCGTGAGTGCGTGTGTACATGAAAGTGTGAATGCGTGTGCGAGCGGTCACCTGGTGCGCGGGCGCCGCGAGCGGCGCCGGCGAACGCGAGTAGGGGTGCGGGTGCGCGGGATGCGGCGACTGCGAATAGCGCTGCTGCGGTGCCGGGCTGGGTTGCTGGCGGTAGGGCGCCGGGCTGCTGGCGTACAGCGGGCTGCGCGCGAACCCGCGCCCGCTCGCTGCACCACCCACAGCCCCGCCGCCCGCCCCGCCTCCGCCGCCGCTCCCGCCACCGCCCGGTGCTGGTGAGCCGTACGGCGCGCGAGGTGGTGAAGGACCAGAGAATGCGGCTGGACTCGATGGAAACTGTATAAGATTACATGCACATTTTAGAATGTTCACTAGTGAAATGAAACATCTTTATATTATGTTATATTATATCTTTATATATACCTTAATATATATATATATATATATATATATATATATATATATATATATATATATATATATATATAAAATAAAATTAGGTAAATGCGTAATTCATTAGTTTGTGGATAAAATAAAAATGTTGCCAATCACAAATCTCATAAAAAAATCGATTCCCTTTTTTTCAATCGATTTTTTATGGTGTCATTATTACAATTCTGATATAACTTTTCGATAATTATTATGATGTTATGATATAGGTGTAAAGCAACCGTTGACAACGGATATTTATCCAAAGCAGCCGATACGCAACCGTAGTCAACCAGTTGTTTATCCGACTACAGACGAAAAGGATGGTTATGTTTTTACTGTGTGTGCGGGTGGCTTAGCTGAATCGCTTTTTGCAATGGCGCTTAAAACTACTTGACCGATTTAAAAAAATTCTTTCACCATTCAAATTCTACTATGACTGTAAAACGGAGGATGCATTTTATAATAGAGGACGCTACTTTCAACCAATATATTTATTTAGCTAAACTCGTAAAGTACTTTCACCGCAAGAATGTTATGTATAATTATAGATATCTAATGTAGGATGCATTTTATTATAGAGGGCGCTACTTTCCACGAATATGTTTTTATTAGCTAATCTCGAAAATACTTGAACGATTTTGAAAGTTCTTTCACCATTACATTGCTAATGAGGGCGTTACTTGTGTGATAAAATTATATTATTAAAAATTTATTTGTGATATTAATACTTTCTAAATAAATAAAAGTAAATATCTACCTAAGATGATCAAATCCTATTATTATTTTTACAATTTAACAATCGTGTTTACATACTTTATTTACTTAGGATGATTGTTTTAGATATAGGTAATAAGTCTAAAATAAGAGAGCTTCACTTAAACGAAAAAATAATTAATAAAATATAACTAAAAGTTGGAAAAAGTGGCCCAATGTGAATCTTGCATAAAGCGATTTACTATAAATTCTTTAAAGTGTAACAAAATGCTACTGCACAATTTAACTGTTATTTTTATCTGTTTTAACAACACATTATAATGGAATCATGTTATGATAACATTTAACAAATAAATTTTTGCTGATTTACCATGAATTGTTTAGAGCATAACAATACGCTACTCCACATTTTAACTGTTCTTAAAAATACATTTAAAAAGAATTTAAATAAATAAAGGAAAATATATTTTAAAAAGCGTGTAGAACTTAAAACGCCTTAAATATATCATTCTTTTTTATTAAATTATTAATCGAATAAAAATCGATATCGTTTCATCGTATTTATGTTAGTTATGTGGCAACATCAAATCTGACAGCTAGGAAATCTGTCATGCGAATGAAATCACAATTCAACAAGTAAATAGGTACTAGAGAATTCACAACTAAATAGTCGCAATTGTGTTATTTTGTTTATTATTTTTCAAATAAATTCTCTAGAACTCATATGGAGTGAGTTTGCCCATCACATTGTTGTACCCCTTAAGGTAAGTGTTCAACAGTTTTAAATTTAGTAAGTCTAGTGCTCATATCTGATAGTGATACATATTGTTACGAGCTTGAGGTTCGTGAAAATAAAAATTGCCGATAAAATTACCTAAATTAACACTTTAATTTACTTTACACAAATTAAAACTTAAAACACTAATAATTAAACACACTAATTCACTTTATTCCGCTCCGAAGCTTCGCTTGTTTCGCCACTTCAATACTACTCGATCGCATCATGCAGCGCCTATTTATTTAAATTAGCAAAGAAGCATCCGGAATATTCAAGTAAATGCGCGCAAAGGGACGAGGGTGTGAGTGTAGATTTTCTAGAAACTTAGTTCTTCGGATGGCGCTGTCGGTTGAGTGATTTGTGATGTCATTTTCTCAATGCTCCCCTCGCTCTCGTTCCTGACACTAGATGGCGCTAGTGTATCGTCGACTTGAGCGCGTAACAATATTTTTACTCTGGTTGCATATCAACTCAAAAAGTTGTTTTATTTTTTAACATATGCACAAGCTATATCTGACAAACATAACAGCTTATTTATAACATGGCGATAAGATTAGCTAGCTAACACCAGATAGTTACGAAATTGACAATTTTTATCAAATACCAAGAAATGAGACAGTCGTTTTTTAATTTTTTTTGGACTACTGGTAGTCAGTCAGTTCTTAATTATTTAATAATATAAGGCATTAAGTTTTAAGTAACATTTACCTATATTTGAGTTTAAAGTAAACAACTCTATTTTATTTTGTTCACTTTGTCTTAATTTTTTTTATTTCATATTATTTCTGTTGCCATCGTCATTACGTGTGTGTCATAATTGCTGGCGAAGGACTGATAAAGCAGCATCACGTTAAACTGCAGAACGGGAACCATCTTAATCATCTAGTCCGTCCTCCAGAACAACAAAGCTTAGATCATACATCATACAATATACTGCTGCCTAATTATGTAAGAGCACCACTCACACAAAATCAATGTTTTTTGCTGGTTGTAACAATTCCAATCAACTCACTGTTCCATCAGCATTGCGGGTATCTAGACACGCGGTAACGTGTCAAGCCAAGTTTACGCAGAACGGCGAGCCGCACCGTGTGTAATATTACACGAACCATTTGGAGCCACTTTTGACCCCCTCATAACTCAAAAACTATTTCATATAAACGTTTCAAATTTGGCACATATATTGAAACTTGCAAAATATATATGTACTTCAAATTTAGTAAACACATCTCTAACAGTTATTTAGATATTAACGTCTAAAAATCGTAATTTTTATCACTGACTGACCTATAGATCAAAACTCTAACCCAGTTCCAGATGACCTAGAAAGTTCAAATTTGGCATGCAGATAGGTAATTAGATGAATACAGAGAAGTAAATCAGAAACTGATAATTTTTTTATCATTTTATTATAATTTTTCACTTAATTGATTCTATTAGGAACATGTACACAGCGCGCGATACCCCACCGGAGGCGTGGAGTGGGAGCGGTACGATAAAACCTTGACGCGAACGTATCCAACGTCCAAGCGAGTGGCAGGTGGCACTGGCAGCAGCGCTCATAAACGGGAACGCTGTTTTGCTGTCCGGTTGTTTCTCGATATCTGACCTATGAGGTGGCGATTTATGCTACGAAATTAATAGATTTTCTTAAAAAATATTATATATTTGTGGTCATATTATTATTAAAATTCTTTTAGTAAGTACGCACCGCATGTCTAGATGGTAAAAGAAATAGTTTAAATCAAAAATTAATAATTTTAGTGTAGTTATAAGTAGGTATGTATACCTCCTAACACTGAATGAGTAAGAACGAGACCTTATTGGTATGGTAACAAATTTTCTTGAGAATTCAATAGATAACAGGTAATTTGTTATGTACTCGTCTTAAATAATTATCTTTTTATTACGTATATTGTACAATGAGTCGTACAATAGAATTACGGGTGGGTGACACACTTACCTTACACCGAATTATTCCAATGCCTCCCGATGGAAGCTGCCTATTCCATGCTATCGCCGTTTCAGATATTCAGTAATGTATATGTTCACATGGAATAATTAAATGGTTAAACGAACTTACCTTAAGTGAAGTTCAACCATAATTATACGAAGCTCCTTGTCCTAGACATTCTTAACAATTGTAGTACGCCGCATTCCATGCCAGCATCACAATTTATCCAAGCTCACTAAAAAAAATTTTAAAGCAGTATATCTGGCAACACTGTATCCACCCGTCCGTCAATGCAACCTCATTATGTTTAAAGCAAGGAGTTAGATGAGCAACCCTAACCCAGGGAGGGTTGGGCGGAGATATCGTCTAGGACAAGGAGCTTCGTATAATTATGGTTGAACTTCACTTAAGGTAAGTTCGTTTAACCATTTAATTATACTCCCTCCTTGTCCTAGACATTCTTAACAATTGTAGATGTTTGAAGACAGGGTTGCGAATTTATAATACCAATGAATGGAAATTTGCAATTTCGCTTATTTTATAAAAAATGTTGAACATATTGCCTGTATAGTAAATTTAAATTAATAAAATAAATAAATTATCGTTATTTCATAACATTTCCTTATACACATAAGGCCAGCTTGATTGCAGCAGAAGTGGCCCTGTGGAAGAATTATGACTGAAAAAGAAAACAATCTGGAATATCTATTCCAGTTTAATTTTAACATCTTATAACTTACTTAAGAAATACTATTCTAAGTGGGTTAAATTTATCACTATCTTGTGTTCTGTTTTCTATTAAAATATTCACAAGAAAGGCTCAACCCCTTCTTATTTATATTTTCCCATGCAAACCCTGTTGAAGTGAAATTCTATCTATATCTTAACTATACAACTGAGCTCCCGTTTGAATAAATGTAATATTTGTTGAAGGACAATGTATGTATATTATAACCTATAACCCATCACTGCTCAGCTTGTTACTAGTTTTTGTAAATTTCTGTATTCTCAATATTTATTGCAATATTCTGTAGTTAATAATCTAAAGGTAACTTATTATTAAGTCTATTTTTATAACTCAAACCTAAGTAAAAGGCACAACAGCCCAGGAAGGAATTTCATTACACTTACTACAATTTGGTACGATAAAGAATTAATTATTTTATTATTTTATAATTTATAGTATTTGACATAGGAGAGTTCACTATAATTCTTAGTATGAATTTTGGAGCGAATCTTGGAGTACCATATTTTACAAAATACTTCACTAATAGTAACCAATGATGTGTATGAGATATCTATGAGATGACTATAACATGACATGGTAGTATAATTATCTTTAGATAGGCAGTGTTAATAATAATTTGTTATTTTACTCAAAATAAATAATTCATTATTTCACATTTACTGCTCATGTGAAAAAAACTACTTTATAGTTTATAGTGACAGCGTTTTAAT